TTTAACACCCTCGCTCCATTTTTTTACACAACTTACTGCTGGTACCCATCAACTCGCAAGAGCTCAAAGGCTGGAGATTCATCACTATGAAAGGCACTCCTTAAGGTATGGCTGACGCAACGGAATACTGCTGCACCCAGAACATAGTTGTACGCCTTTATCTTTTCTCCTCATTAGAATAAATGAAAGAACCCAATACTTCAGTATCGAAGTGGGCTCTATAATACGCACGATCGGCCAAAAAGCTGCAGCGATCAAAACAGGACAGTACAAGTCATTAAATTTTTTGTGGTTGGGTCTGCTTTATTTGGAATTATCAGATTTCCTAATTTTCATGCGCTTAATCAAAAATTGTATTCGTAAATCAAATTTACCCACATATTTCACTTTTTTGAGTTTTTAAGTGACGATTATTATAAATAAAAAGATTTATGAAAACCGTTAGTTAGAAAATCTCTGATCGGTAAGGTACCTCAAAATGGTTTGACAGCGGCAACGCTAGAAACAAGGTGGCAACGTTTAGAACAAACCACCAGCATTCTGTTATGGCTAAACCTGTGCAAGGGTCGACCTTTTAGCTGGCAGTCGCTTTAGGAAACAAAATAAATAGCAGGACTGCCAGCAAGCTAACAGCCAAGCGATGTAGAAACATTGGTTAAGAGAACTGAAAAAGTTGTCAGCTGCATAGCTGAAGAACTGCGCAACAATCTGCAACTGACCAAAGAATTAAAGTATTATTTAGAAAAAGACTGTCGAAAGATTACAGTGCACTGAAATTTTAATGCTCAATTTTCACCACTGAGCTAAAGAAAAGCAAATGCTGAAAGTGTTAATGGGAAAGCAACACTGGTGATTCTTATAGGGATAGATAGCGGAGTAAAAAGAGACCCGCGAACATCACAATTTTTTTTTGTGCAGCGCATTACTTGAATAGTGGAGGATGCTTCGGGCAGAAAGCTCCAAATAGCACAAGAAAGAGTATTTTGGAAAAATTTGGGGAAACTAAATCCTTGATATTTCCAGAGCTAATATTCAGGTTTTGGTTTCGATTCGTTTAATTGGTACTTAACTGCTTCGTCAGTCTCTGTCTGGCTCCCTTGGTTTTCCTATTCGCTCGTCCATCCTCTCCTCATTCTCATCCCCGGTCATGTAACAGACAGTTACAGGCGCAAAAATCCCTTTTTTAATGTGCTTGCATATCTGTTAAGAGTCAAAAAACAG